AAAAAAAGTAGGAAAACTCCTTACAGAGAAGAAAATTATCCTGAGTGACCAAGACACCAAATGTTTTAGAGATAACTAGAGGAAAGAAAAGTGAGGATGAGAGGTGGTAGAAAGAGGATTTCTTTTTAAAGTGTTCAGAGTCAGGGCCTAATCCAGTTAAAATAAACTCGTGCTATTCTTAAATATACTGGGTTTTGGATCCATGTTCTTTCCTGTACCCCACAGTAGGGAACTAATCTAAGCTGGTTTTTGTTGCTCTTCTGAAGTGGTAGTATATTGAATTAACAAATACCTGTTAACTTCATTACAAGTTGTGTTCTCTACACATACCTTCTGGGGGATCCTGCTTGGGTTGTTGCTGCCGAGTGATTTTAGTGACTTACCTGCAACTGAAACAACAGGGGGGGGTTGTTGCTACAGGGTGTACTTGTAGCTACTTTAAGGTGCTGAGCTTGGAAACACTGTACTACCAGTGTTGATGTCAGAGGTTCCCAAATAAAAGGTTTAAAAAACCCAAAACCCTGTCAGGTTATTCCTAGCCCTTGTGTAGAAGGGATTGGGGTGAAGGAGAACTCTGATCAGTAGAAAGGAGCAGCTTAACTGGGCAAGTGCCAAAAGCAAATGCTCTTCTCTAGTACTGTGTTACCACTACAGAACAAAAAGGTCTGTTGGAAAGTAGAAGTATTGCCATGAGCATGGTGAAATTTACTACTATGAGTAGTTTTAATAGAATGTTGTGGCCAAAACCTGACAGACTCTTTCTTCTTTTATTCCAGTGGAATGGATCGCTGCGGTCTCCTTAGCTGCTGGAGCAGCTGCTGTCGGGTACCTAGCTTACAAAAAATTTCTCTCTAAAGACAAATGCTGCAAAGCCATGGTGAATCCCCATATCCAGAAGGATAACCCCAAGGTAGTCCATGCATTTGACGTGGAAGATCTGGGAGACAAGGCTGTGTACTGTCGTTGTTGGCGATCTAAGAAGGTAAGATAAGAATAAATGGTCCAGTTTTCATGTGCATGCATCTTCCAACAAAACTACATTCAGACTGCTTTTATAAGAGGAAACTAACTACTTTTCACCTAAACTATTGTACAGTGAGATGTAGCAGTATTTTAATCCATAGAACCATGTAGATTTATGCTGTCACTCAGAGTAAAGCCTGCAGATCAGTGCTAATAGTGAACAAAATATTTTTGTAGCTCTGAAGAAGCTGATCTCTTGGAAGGAGAGCTGCTGTATGGAGCAATCAGTCATGAATGACAGATACCATTTTGTGTGCTGCCTGTGCTAATACTGAGGCATATCCAAAACTACTGGCCTGTTGGCAGGTGAAGGAAAGCTCAGGAACCCACAGTCTGAGCAGATCTATAACACCTTTTACTGGAGGAGTTTGGAAGATTACTCTGTCAGTCAGAAAGTATCTTGCTACTAGTTCATATGGAGTTAGTAACACAAATCCGTTAGGAAGTCTCTTGGTATATCAGAGCTGGTGTCAAAATTGTCACTTGCATGTCTAAGCCCATCGTTAAATCTTGCAGACAGGGTGAGTGCAGAATTGTTTTGGGAAGAGCCTCACTTGTGCAGGTGGTGTTACAGTGGTACTGCTCTTCTGGCCTGAATTTATTGTTGTGGTACTGCTGTGTGCTGTAGATAGCAGCCTTTTGCCACATGAATGAACACAGCGGTGAATTGTTTCCAGTGGTAATGGAGGTAATCTAAAAAGAAGTCATTGTGGTTAAAAAGCTTTTGAAGAATCTAGACAGATGGACTTAATATATTTGTGCCTTAACAACTCAAAATAGTTATATGGGTGATCCTGAAGTAAAGCCAGTGAAATCACAATGGCATACTTTAAACCTCTATTTTAGAGCAGTTAAAAGTCTGGCCTAGAGACTGGTCCAGCCTAATTGCATATGAAGCCAGGTTGCCTCAGTTGCCTAAAATTAATCAGTAAGCATGACACCTAGCCTTCCATTAATGCTAAGATCAGATTTAAATCTGAGGTAGAGATGCATGACATGTGATATACAGATCTCAGCTACAGTTTATCTGTAGTGGTAGGTCTGGGATCTGTAGTGAGAGAAAGCAGATTGGATGAGTAGTCCTGTCTGTTTACCACTGGCACACATTTCAAAGG